AACGAGCAAGAGGAGGAGGAGGAGGAGGAGGAGGAGGAAGGAGGAGGCGGAGGAGATGGAGCGAGACAAGAGAAGAGGAGAAAGAGGAGAAGAGTATAGAAAGAGAGGGGAAGGAGAAGGAGCAGGAAGAGGGGAAAAACAGAAGAAGGGGGAGGAGGAGCGCAAGACTAGCACAAGCGCGAGCAGGAGCAGCGCAGGAGGACAGGCGAGCAGGAGCAGTAGGAGTAGATGGAGGAGGACGGGGAGGAGGAGGAGGAGGAGGAGGATGAGGAGGAGGAGAGGAGGGGTGGTGAACGAGCAAAGAGGAGGAGGAGGAGGAGAGGAGGAGTAGGAGGAAAGAGAGGAGGAGGAGGGAGCGGAGGAGGGAGGAGGAGGAGGAGGAGGAGACAAGGCGAAGAGGAGAAGAGAGGGGAAGGAGAAGGAGCAGGAAGAGGAAAAACCAGAAGGAGGGGGAGGAGGAGGCGCAATGACTAGCACAAGCGCGAGCAGGAGCTAGGAGCAAGGAGGACAGGAGCAGGAGCGTAGGAGTAGATGGAAGAGGAGGAGGAGGAGGAGAGGAGGAGGAGGAGGAGGGGAGGACGAAACGGAGCAAGAGAGGAGGAGGAGGAGGAGGAGGAGTAGGAGGGAGCGGAGGAGGAGGAGGAGGAGACAAGGAGAAGAGGAGAAGAGGAGAAGAGAGGGGAAGGAGAAGGAGCAGGAAGAGGAAAAACAGAAGGAGGAGGCGGAGGAGGAGGAGGAGGAGACAAGGAGAAGAGGAGAAGAGGAGAAGAGAGGGGAAGGAGAAGGAGCAGGAAGAGGAAAAACAGAAGGAGGGGGAGGAGGAGCGCAATGACTAGCACAAGCGCGAGCAGGAGCAGGAGCAGGAGGGACAGGAGCAGGAGCAGTAGGAGTAGATGGAGGAGGAGGAGGAGGAGGAGGAGGAGGAGGGAAGAACGTCGAGGAGGTCGAGGAAGAGGAGAAGGTAAATTAGAGAGAAATGGTGGAAAGGAGGCGCAGGGACAAAGTGCAGGGCAGAGGAGGCAGAGGAAGGGAGCGAGCGAGGGAGGGAACGACAGGAGAACGGCGGGACGCAACGGCCCCGCAAGGTTGTTCCTGCCCGGCGAGCGCGTCACCAGCCGCGGAGGCCGCCCAGGGGAGGAGCAGCAACAGGAGGAGGAGGAGGAAGCGGCGAGGAGCAGCAGGAGGAGGCGTAGCAGCCAGAGGAAGAGGACGAGGAGGAAAAGGGGGAGGGGAATGAGGAGGAGCAGCAGGAGGAGCAGAAGGAGGAGAAGGAGGAGGGAGAGGGAGAGGAGGGGGGAAGGAGAAGGGAGTGGAGGAAGGGGGGAGGAAGAGGGGGGAGGAAGGGAGAGGGCACTCCGAACCCTAGCGCCACAGGTTCGAAAATCATCCTAGTCGGCGGCGAGGCGCCAGCCCTCGTCCTGGCGTGCAGCTGACCTCCTAGCCTCAACCTCTGTGTGCGCTGCACTAGTGTCGACATTGATGGCTCGCACGTTGGCCCACCGCTGGACTGACTGCTCGAAGGCCCCTGAAGCGGTCCGCGACGGCTTTTGCCTAAGCCGAATGAACGATGCGAGCTGTATACGGTCGGGAATTTGGGCCTGGCGTGTCACTCCACCGGTTCTGACCCACCACACTTCGGCGCGACACGCTAATCACGTCCCAGCGTTCAAGTGTCAACGTCCCGAGCTTTTCCCGGCCCCCTGCCCCGCGGAGCGGAGCGACACGCTATCCGCTTGCAGAGCATACCGCGCCGCGACACGCTAAAGCAAAAGTTCCCGACCGTATCGGGGGGCTGGATCCAAAGTTGAACAACGTCGCCGCTGCTAGGGACGGCGTCGCCCCTCGGCCCACCTGCCCCGAGCCGGGCCACGGTCTCGCTGAGTACTCCGCCGCACGCCCTGGCCTCACTGCGCTCGGAGCAACCGATGTGTCCCCCCATGGCACTCCTCGCGATGGCCGCAGCTGCCTGCCCTGTCGCCTCGACGAGGCCCGCTCGCCCGCCCGCCCGCCACCTTGCCGCCCGCTTGCCTTGAGCTCCCCCGGGGGTCTGGCGCTTGCCCGCGGCGGTATACTCGTGACGCGGCTGTGCTTCTCCCTCGCCATCCTGCCCGTCGCTGCCGGCGAGGCAGTCATACCCGCTCCCATCGCGGAATCCTCCTCACTCCCTATTGCTTGGGCACTCCGCGGCGATGGCGATCCTGCGCCTCGCCTCGCCGCCGGTCTGACGGCTGCGCCCCCACGTGCCGCAGAGATCCTTCGCAGCCCCCCGCGCTCCTGCATCGCCCTCCTCTGCGCTCTGGCAGGCCGGGTCCGCATGCAGGGGCCTCTCGCCGCAGTCGTTGGCCGTGCCGACCAGTTCCTTCAGCGGCTGGGCTTGCGCCGCCCACTTGCTGCGTGTGCTATCATCCTTCGCGAGCGTCCAGGATGAAAGTGAGGACTGGGGGTGTGTGGATGTCATGGCCAGGGCCAGGAAATCCCCGAGACTTCGCGGTCCCCTCTTCTTCTCTCAACGCGTTCCCTGGCCCCCCTCTCTTCTGCGCACATGCCCCGGGCCATGGTGTGCTAGCGCCCCTTTTCCTGGCCCGCCACTGCGACGCATCCTGATCCTGTGGCCAGTCCTTCTCATGGCCGTGGAACCGCCCGAGGGTTGATACCAAGCCCGTCGCCGAGGTCTCCAGCTGCGCAGCCTCCGCACATCGGGTAGGCCACGACCCCGCAGCGACACTGGACTCCGCGCGCCTTCGGGAGTCTCGCCACCTCCTGCGGCCAGAACAACTGCACCAAGCCCCACGACGAACTCCTGAGCCGCGCTGTTGAAACAGAACGAGTGGGCACCTTCCTGGCCTGCCCCCCTCCCTGGGGACTCGGCAGCGCTCCTCCAGTGCCCTCGCCTCGACGGTGCGCGTCGCCATCTTCGCCCCGTCCGCCAGGGGTCGCCCTCGAGGGGGGAGGAAGCTGCTCCCAGACGTCGGGGCAGACGAGATCCTGGGCCTGGGCGCAGCCAGGTCGGCGCCCAGCTCGGATCCTCTGCAGAGGAGGTCCCTTTGACGCACAGGGCCCTCCGCACCCTCCGGCGCGCATCGCATCGGCGAGACCTGCTCGAGGGATCTCACGATATTCCTCTACCTCCTGAGCCCAAAGGCCGCCTTGGCGGGTGGGAGCGGCGATCCACCCATGCCCCGATTCGCCAGGCATGTCCCCAAGATGTGAGCGTTGTCGGGCACACCAGCCAGGACATCACTTTATTCCTCCGCTCTCGGCGACATCAGGCGCTGCGGCGGCGGTCGCCAACAGTGCCGCCGCCACCTCCTCCTGCTCCTGCTCCTCCTGCTCCTCCTCGACTCGGGCCCTTCTTGGACCGTCTTGGAAGTCTTTGGGGGCCCTCGTAGCCCGTTTTCAAGCCTTGGATGCCCCCCCAGCAGAATTTCTGGAGCAAAGCACCCCCCGGGCGGCCTGGATAGACCCCCCCCGTCCAAATCGACCGAATCCGGCTCCCTGGGAGGGGTTTGGGGAGGGGGAAGCATCTCACACACCGATGAGGCCCAAGGGGTCGGCGGATTCTCATGGTTAACGTTCCAGAAATGGCGTTCTGGAGCGAGTCAGGACTGTCAGGGCGTAAGAGTTACGTTGATTCGCGGTGTTGAAGTCCAAGGAATGGCGTTCTGACAAGATTCAGGATCGCCAAGACGTAACAGTCAGGTTAATTCATGGCGTTGAAGTCTTGAGAATGGTTTTCTGGCACCCTTTACGATGTTCACACGGTGGTCCCCCAACGGGTCACTTCCCCAATGAAATGACCGTGTATAAGGGCATACAAAGGGGGATGTTGAAGGGAGGGTGCATTTCAACATAGTTGATGAGTCTTGGGATTACATTGGTCCTCCTCCTCCTCCTCCTCCTCCTCCTCCTCCTTCTCCTCCTACTCCTCCTCCTCCTCCTCCCCCTCCACCGCCTCCTCGTCATCCTCCTCCTCCTCCTCCTCCTCCTCCTCCTCCTCCTCCTCCTCCTCCTCCTCGTCTCCTCCTCCTCCTCCTCCTCCTCCCCCGCCTCTCCCCCCCTCCCCCAACCGTCCACCCCCCTCGCCCACGCCCCTGCTCCCTGCTCCCCGCGCGCGCGCGCATCCGCCACCCCACCCGCACCTTGCGCAGGCCTCGGCGGCCTCGCCCCGCGCGGCGAGCACGGGCCCAAGCCTGGCAGGCGCCCCGGCCGCCCCACGCTTGGGGGAGTCGTCGATGCCAGAGGCGGCGGAGTCGTCCCGCCGTCGTCGGCGGCGGCGTCGTCGTCATCGTCATTGCTATCGTCGTTTTCTCTTATGCCTCCGCCTCCTCCTCCTTTTCCTCCTCCTCCTCCTCCGCCTCCGCCTCCGCCTCCACCTCTGCTTCATCGTGATCATCACCACAACCATCGTTATCATTGTGGTCATCATCATCGTCCCCTTCCGCCTCCTCCACTTCCTCCACCGCTTCCTCCTTCCCCATCCTTTTCCTCCCCCTCCTCCTCATCCTCCCGCGTAGTTCTCGGCCGGTATCTCCCGCAAACTAACTAGCGTCTGCGCAGCCTAGGCGGTATGCCTTAGGACCAGATATGTTGCGATAGGCGATAGCGATCACCACCGTTTGCGCAGCAGCTGCAAGACGGAGGTGAAATATACAGTGCTGCGGTATTGCATGATAGGCCGCTCAGCTCGTGCACGAGTAAGCGCTTCGCGTGTTTCCGCCGCTGCGGGGCCGCAAAGACTTGCTGGGCGGCGGGGAGGTGGTACCCATAAGCCCAGGCGACGAGCAGGGCGGAAGGAAGGTGCGCGACCAACAAGCCAGGTCAGATCGCATGGGTATTCACGCGTGGATTGTTCGCGCACAGTCCAGCGTGAACGCCCGTGCTCCCGCGCTATCCACCGCGCAATCCCGCGTCGTAAGCTACCGCGCAGGGTCGTTGTGGACTGCTGCGCGAAGCCAGCGTCAGCTTCGCTGCGGAGGGCGTAGGAGTGGGACCTCGAGGCCACCATCAGCCCTGGCGAGCTGGATGTTGCGTGGGCTCCGCAGCTTCTTCTGCAGAAGAGAAGGCGCCACATCATCAACCGGAGGGGAGATCGGTTCAAGCTCAAGTGTGTGAAGTGGCGCGGCGCGAGAAGTTTTGGACGTGCAAAGCCTCGACGCCGTCTGCGGGTCAGAACGAGACCTTCGTCTTACTATGGTGCGGCTGCTTCTCTGCAACGAGATGCTGCGCAAAGCCAGTTTGCAAGGGAATCCATTAATCTGGTGTTCAACCTGCAATTGAGAGGGCTCTCGGCCCTTGAGGTGTTTGACGAGGTGGTGCGCTGCCTGGGGACGCACAGCGTGGCCTCGACCGCCAGCACCCACACCCTCTGGCGAGTTTCGCGGGCCTCTCAGCAAGAACGGCCTGCGGTACGACCCAGGCTCGCGGCACGCGGAGGAGCAATGGGTCGTGGTGGCGCCGCGTTGCCAGCCGTTCATTCTCGCTCGCCCTCCATCTTCCTCCTTCCCCGCCTCGCTCCCTCCTGCTCTCTCCATCCTCCTCCTCCTCCTCCTCCTCCTCATCCTCCTCCTCCTCTTCCTCCTCCTCGTCATCATCATCAGCATAAGCATCATCAGCAGCAGCATCATAATGATCATCATCATCATCATCATCAGCATCATCATCATCACCATCATCATCATATTAGTTTTCATCTTAATCTTCGCCATCACCATCACCATCACCATAATCCTCGTCATCCCTCCACCTTACTACCTCTAGCTTCCTCCTCCTCGTCGTCCTAATCCTCCTTCTCCCTCTCCATCCCCTCCTCCTCCTCATCCTGCTCATCCTCCTTCGCTTGTGCTGCCATTGCTGCTCATCATCAGTATCAGTACCATCATCATCAGCAGCATCATCCTAATCATCATCATCAGCAGCAACATCATCATCAACATCCTTAGCAGCACCATCATCATCGTCATCAACAGCATCATCATCTTCAGCATCAGCATCACCACATTCATCATCAGTAGCAGCAGAATCGTCATCATCATCATCCTCATCAGCATCGGCTTTTTCATCATCAGCTGCAGCATCATCGTCGTCATCGTCATCATCAGCGGCATCATCATTATCGTCATCGGCATCGTCTTCGTCAGCAGCAGCATCAGCATGAGCATCAACATCAAGATCCTCAGCAGCAGCATCATCATCAGCATCATCATTATCATCAGCAGCATCAGCAGCAGCAGCAGCATCAGCATGGTAATCATCATCACCACCACTACCACCAGCATCACCAGAATCAGTCTCATCCTCCACCTGATCACCCTCCTCCTGTTCATTCCCTCATGTCATTCACCATCGTATCGTGTGAATATGCGGTTGTCTCTCTGTGTCCAAAGTCTCTCGTCTCCCTCCCTCCCTCTTCCGCGTCCTTCCTCCTTCCCCGTCCCTCTTCCCCACCCATCCTTAGCATAACCCGCATGTCTCATCCGTCCTCTCCCGTTTGGTCTCATCCTTCCTCGTTCTCACCCAGGGAAGAGCTCGACGAAGATGGCGAGCCCACGCTGTACTTGCTCCTGGACGGCGAGGCATGCCTGGAGGAGAGGGGGGAGGCGAGCGGGGAGAAGAAGGAGCAGCAGCAGCATCAGGAGAGGAGGAGCAGCAGCAGAAGGAGGGGAAGCAACAAGAGGAGGAGAAGGAGGGAAAGGGTGAGCAGGAGAAGGAGTATCAAGATAGGACAGTCAATCTGGGCTTGACACTGATGCAGGTCCTAGGCCTGTTGGTTTGGTGGAGGGTTTGGGCAGGGAGGCAAAACGGGTTCTACGGGAGGGGAGTCGTGCCAATAAGAGGGGGAGAGGATGGAAGGGGTGGCGAAGGGGAGGAGGGAGTGGAGGGAAGATGCAGGGAGGGAAAAGCGGGAGTCGAGGGGCTAGGGACGGACTGTTTTTCGCGAGAGGGAGGGAGTAAAGGAGGAGTTGAAGAGGAGGAGGAGGAGGAGGAGGAGGAGGAGGAGGTGGCTAGACCCTACGAGCGCGTCGGCATTATGCGCGGTTTGTCTGCAAGCTTAGCAGAATTTGATCGTTCACACGCGTGCAGGTTTTTCCAGGGTTTTTTTTTGTGAACGCGTGAGAATGCTATTGTTTCGGATCCTGGATGGGTAGCCCTCCATCGAATTTCAAATCACGGGTTGTCGTGAGCGTACATATGTCGCCGCGCCATCTATTCTGACGTGTGGCCTTCTGTCTTGGGGAACGCGCCGCGGTCACTGGGGTAAACGCCGCCTCGGGCGCAGGACTTGCCGTGGGTTTGCCGTGGGTTTGCCGTGGTGTCGGCGTCGTCCATTGTGCGCGTCGAGAACAAGCGGTGCGGCGACACATCGTGGATAGCAAGGCCTTGTCCTCTCCTCTCCCCCAGTGCTTCATGGCATGACACGTCGAGTCCTACCATATTCGGCGCGCCCGCTGCCAAAAAGGGGAGGCGCGTGGGGGATGGCTGCCTAAGAAGGCTCGGGAGCCTTGAGACGGGGGTCAACGCAAAGGAGGACAGCCAGAGCGCCGGATCTTGCAGGATCCTGCAAGGCCAGGATGGCACTGACCCAGGCTAGCGCGCAGGATCCTGCAGGATCCTGCAAAGCCCGACTGACCCAGGTTTGGATTGACCTGGGCCAGTAGAAGCCCGAAAGGCAGGGGGATCCTCAGGGAGGTTTCCGAGAGAAGGCTTCTTGGAAGGCCTCCACTCCATTCCAAGAGGCCCCCACACGACCTTCTCAGCAGGCGACCCCTCGCCCCTCCCCGTCCTGCGCGCCGCCAGCGTGCGACGTCATGTCCCAGCAGGACGGAAGCGGGCCCTGTGGGAAACAGAGCAGGTTGTGGGTTCTTGGGCCTTCTTCCCGGACCATATCTTCGTCCTGGGCCATTTTCTGGCGGTCCCCGGGCTTCATGAGGGCCCCTGAAGCCAAAGAAGAAATGCTGATATTTGAGGACCCCTTTCCCTCAGGTCCCGCCACCAACGACTCCGAGATCTGACGTTGCGAGAAAAGATAGAATCGCGAAGCATCACGGCCAGAGCCCTAGACCTCGCCTGCCGAATGTTCCGAGCCGGATCGATCTGTGATGGCCCCGGGGGCCCGAAACCAGGCGAGAACGCCCAGTGTGAAAAAATTGCACCGCCCACATCTCAGGGCATGACTTCATGTCGCGCGCCCCTCCCTGGCGCACGGAACGCGCCAGAGGCGCCGCCAGGGTAGGCCCAGCGCCGATGCAAGAAGTCCGCGCGGAGCTCCGAAAGTTTATGCTCACGTGCTTTCTTGATGCTCTGGTGCCGGCCAGGCCTACCGCGACGACAAGGCCGGCTCGTCGCTGGTGAGCCCCGGCGAGGCGTTTGGGGAGGCGGCGTTGCTCGGCGTTGCGCGCGCGAGCCCAGGGCCCTGGAGGGCGGGCAGCACGGCGTGCACTGTGCAGGCGCTCGCCTTGGGGGCGGGAACCTCCTCCTCCTCCTCCTCCTCCTCCTCCTCCTCCCCCTCCTCCTCCTCCCCCTCCTCCTCCTCCCCCTCCTCCCCCTCCTTCTCCTCCCTTTCCCCCTCCTCCTTCTGCCCCTACTCCTCATCGCATCATCATCATCATCATCATCATCATCATCATCATCATCATCATCATCATCATCATCATCATCATCATCATCATCATCATCATCATCATCATCAGCATCATCATCATCATCAGCAGCAGCAGCATCAGCATCATCAGCATCATCATTGTGATGGTCGTCATCATTGTCATTCTCAGTAGCATCATCATTGTCATCATCGTCGTCATCCTCATCATCATCAGCAGCAGCATCATCAGCAGTAGCAGCATCGTCATCATCATCATCATCATCATCATCATCATCATCATCATCATCATCAGCAGCAGCAGCAGCAGCAGCAGTATCATCATCACCATCAGCATAATCATCATCAGCAGCATCATCATTAGCGGCAGGAGCAGGAGCATCAGCATCAGCATGATCATCCTCATCCTCTTCCGCATCCTGCTCTTCGTCATCATCCTCCTCCCCGTCCTGCTCGTCCTCCTCCTCCTCCTCCTCCTCCTCCTCCTCCTCCTCCTTCTCCTTCTCCTCCTCCCCGCCTTCTCCTCCACCTCCTCCTCCTCCTCCTCCTCCTTCTCCTCCTCCTTCTCATTCGCTGCAGCCCCACTTCCTCCTGGCAACGGCAGTTTCCTTCGACATCTGGCAGCAGGCTCCCTTCCTGGCGACTGGGGCCTCGGTGACCACGCCATCGTCCAGCTCCAGCTACGCCCGAGGGCTGGAGCGATCCTACCCTGCGTCTTCGCTTCCCCGCGCCACGGGATTTGGAGGCAAGATGTCCGACCCGCCCAGCGCCCACAGCACAGCACGGCCTTCGGCGCCCGCCCCCTCACGATCGCCGACGGCCGTTCTATCTCTCTCACGGACGCTGAGGCCTTCGAGCGGGAACGCCGCTTGCTGCAAGTGGCCTGGCAAGAGCGGCAACAGAAAGCGGCAGCGGACCGCTTGCAAGACGAGGCCCGCACGCGGCCTGGTGGCGATTGCCCCTCGGAGTTCCAGCTGCGGAAGCTCCAGCGGACGACCTAGCGGCGGACTCCCGCTATGGGCCCCCTAGCGCCGTCGCTTGGCCTTCGCTGGCATCCGCGCTGACGGGGAGGGACACAGCACGACGATCGAGCGCGAGCCCCTGATGGTCAGGGACGCGCTCTGGAAGTTCTTGGGCACCATCTTCAAGGAGAAGCCCGTACTTCGAGCGGCTGTTGCTGTCGGCCCCGTCGCCCGAGGCGTTTGGCGCTGCCTTCCAGCGCACCTGGCCGAAGGCGCGCAGTCCTGATCGGCTCTGCGCGGTTGCCTGGCTGGTTGACGAGCGGCTGACAGACGCGCTGCGTGCGTGCCCCCATGCTGGAGTCCTACGCGGGCAAGCCCGCCCCGTGGGGCTTCAACTTCTCGGATATGGTTTTCGTGCCGAAAGGCGACGATCCGACGGACT